GAAAATAAGGAGTTAATTATAAAAAACAAACATATAAACACTCATTTTAAAGTTCCAATTGAATAGAAACTTACAATACTTTCCAAAGTCTGAAATTCGTCTTGCCCAAGATTCATTATAAAACGTTCAGTCCGTTTTAGGAAATTTTTTTTACCAAATTATCCGATCCGATCAATCCGATGCTCTCGTCGATGTTTTTTTTATTCCGGATGATCCGGATCGCACCTCAGCCAAATCTTGCATGTGCTTTATTTTTTATTTTTATTATTTAAATGTTTACTATTTAAATTAATTACCTTTATTAATCCTATTTCCGGAAATAAAAAAAACTAGTTATTTTACAAACTCGATTTCACGTTACCATATGAACAATTTAACATTTTTTTCCTTTGAGCAACTAACAAAATCAATAAATTTATGAGTAAATGCTATAGAATTTACATCCGTTCAAATGTCCCCTGAGTTAAAACCTAATGTCAAGGTAGGTTATTATTATAAACCGTTAATATTGTTCATAGCAAGGATGGGGACTTTATTATTTTCTGTCGTTTAACGATTGTTATGGTCGCAATAAGTATTTAGTGGAGACACAAAGGAGAGAAAGTATTTGAAACAATGAATATAAAATGTGCATAGCTGTTAACTTCTTTATTTTGTACAAAGGGATAAGCTAACACATGCATAATGATTTTGGTTACGCTTTATTAATACAGCTTATTAAGGTACAAATTGAAAGTTCTTTTTAAATTTTCTGAGAGAGCACAAATGTAACCATTTTGGCTAAGAGCGACACATCTTTGTGATTTTAATATAGCCAGGACAAAAAGGTCATGCTGTGCTGCGGCTCACAAGCAGCAATGTTTATATTTTTTGTGAAAGAAAAACCATATGCCTCTCGAGTTATTTTTAAAAATTAAAGTATTTTCACACTGGTTCAAAAATTTGGCCTAGTTGATATCTCTATGAATTCATAAACTTCATTTTCAGAATCATCGTCGATAACCATGCAGAAACATAATGGTTATTTCCCCATTTATAATTAATAGTTATTTTCAGGGTTCATAAATTTCGTTTCAATTTAGTAAAACGATTTTTTTTTTTATATATATATTTAACCTTTTCTTTATCTAGAAATAATGTCATGTATCATCGGAAATTGATTATTTTACATGCATAATTTATTTGCCGCCAAGTTTTTTTTATTAACGGTGGTCGGACCAAGTTTAAAACCGAATATCATTTATAAATAGGATTATGCGCGTTTTTGTGAAACATTTTTATTGACCCAATAGTTGTATGCTTAAATATGGAATGGTAATTAATTTACAACAAATAAGGAAAAGTCGATAGCGTTATCATTTCGTATTTGCACTTACTCACCCACTTTTTTTTTCCTTTGATTCTTTCTATCTTCTTTTCTTCGTTAATAATCTTATAGGGACACATTTTTTTTTTTTTTAAAAAAAAAAGAGTAAATTTGATAACTCCAAAAAGTAACTAGCAACTTCAATAAAAGCGAGAATACTTGTTTGAAAAGGTTATAAAAAAAAAAAAAAAAAAAAAAATCATGAGTGACTTGCAACGCAGGAAATCTTTTTTCCGCCTCTTTGGTAGAAAGAAACCTGGGCAAAGTAGATATTCGGCTCGTCTACCTGCAGATTGCCTATACGAAATTTTTACACTTCTCAAAGAAGACACAAAGTCACTACATTCATGCGTTCTTGTTAATAGACTTTGGTGTGAAACTGCGATGCCTTATTTATGGTCACAGCCCTTCCGAAAATCGACTCCACCTCCCGCTTCCCTTATAAACATTTTTGTCGCATGTCTCAGTGATGATGAAAGAGCTGAATTTGTCCAGGCAGGGATAAGGATTCCTACCGTATTCAAAAGACCTCCAACCTTCAACTATGCTTCTTTTATTCCACATGTCAGTTTAGAAAGGTTTTATTCCGCTGTTCATCAATGGACGTTACAAACCTCTGCAAAACGACGCAGCGTGGTAAATTATCGGTAAGCGTCACCTTTGAAAAATAATAATAAAAAAAAAATTGACTTGGTTTTCTTGTTTTTTTTTTTTTTTTTCATTGACAACTTGAAATATATATTTTTTTATTCTCCTCTCTTTTAGATGTAATACCGAGACTAATGAAATGTCGCTTGTTGTATATTGTGCTCTTTGCCGATTACTTTTTGGTAATCGATCAAACATTCATTCCCTAAGTTTGGATCGGCCAAGCAGACAAACTACTCCTTTAATGGATAAATCTCTCGGAATTGATTTACAAGTTCGAAATGTCAGGGATTTATCTATTCGTTATACCACCGATTCCTTTCTTTTCGACGCCTTACATAAACAAGCTGTAAACATTGAAAATTTGACAGTGATTAAATCATCAGATTCCGGTTTAAGAAATTTTGACGATCAACAATATCTGTCATCTTTGATATTCTCTCAACATAAATTGCGTCACTTTTCGCTAACATGCTATGATTCTGTCGATGGTTTCACGTCAAATGTTTTAATACCACTTGCAAGTCAGGCGGATACGCTCGTTTCCCTCAAACTTCATGGTATTCCATTTCCAAGTGATTGTTCTTTTACAGCTTTGGCAACCTGTACGAGTCTTGAAGAATTAGAGTTACGCCGTTGTCCCAACGGTCCCGGATGCAGTTTGGCTGCAATTCAAGCTATAGAATTACCGAACCTTCGTAAGGTTCGTGTAATAGAATCTTCTATCCTTTGGGGAACGCTTATGGATACAGTGATCTCAAAGAATCCCACAGGTTTAGAGGAAGTTTTTTATCAACCCTGGGAAGATGAAGAACATAACATGATATCAACTTCAATTATACAAAGCATTGCTCGATGGCGACCAAAATTAAAAAAATTCGGTGTGGCTCTAAGTGTTGACGAAATTCCATTACTTGAAGAAATTCTTACGGGATGTAAGATTGAAAATCTCAGCTTATTTTCCATGGGTAATCCTGAAGGTGATATGGAAAAGATTTGGCCGGGATTAGGTCACCATATGCCCTCCACTTTAAAACATTTAAATGTATGGATTTTCATTTGTGCAAAATCAATGGATCAATTCCTTCAAAATACAAAAGCTACCTTGGATTCTTTATATGTTGACGCTTGGGTCGAAGACTTTTTATGTCATCCTTATAGTGATGTTCTCACGCGTCACCTCAAAGATAAACCCATGGATTTGATTGACTTTTTCCAACCACAAATTTAAATAATAAAAAAAAAAATTACTTTTTTTTTTACAGACTATTTATTTAATTACCATATGCTAGCTAACTTCATAATCATTAATTTTTACTAAACAATTCCTAGTGTAGATCACCAAAGAGAAAGTTAGTAAATATTATCAATCATTATTATTTAATTAGATATACCGTAATATATAAAATCGGGAAGTCGAAATTAATGCGGACGAATTGACTTTTCCGATACCTAATAATACAAATTCCTTCTTATTTTTTAAGCTCGAGAAATACAAATGGAAATACATACCCCAATAAAAAAAAAAAAAAAATTTAATTCTCCGTTAATATATTGCCGGTATTAATTAATATCACTATATATATATATGCACACATATCTTTCTTGTTTATAATAATATTATTAGCGTATATAATTTTTTGACTCTTTTTATCTTTTCTTTGAATCCATGCTTATTTACATCATTGTAATTTTGAAAAAAAAAAAAAATTTCTAAAAACAATATATTAAAGGATCTGTATAAAATTATAAAACTAAAAAATAATAAAACCGAAAAAGAAAGTCATTTTTGAGGTTTTATTTTTTTTATTTTTTGAGTAGTCAAACTTTATAGAGTAGGAAAAAAAAAAAAAAAAAATTAGAGCAAAAATCAAAGTCAATTTTTTTTTAAAAAAAAAGGTCAAAATAATCAAATAAAGAATATAATAGAATAATAATTTTTTGTAGGCGCCGAAATCATATTTTTTATATATCTTATTTATATTTTTTTTTTAAAAAAAGAAAAAAAAAAAGAAAAAAAAAAAGAAAATAACTTTATTATAAAGACATATATGTTTGAAATTTATTTCACGTTTAAAGCGAAAACATCGAGATGTTAATTTTTTTTTTTAAAAAAAAAAGGAAAAAACATTCATTTAGTAATATAATACTTTGGTCTGGTGGAATTTTTATTTTTTTATTTTTACATAGATTTATTATTTTTTATTTATTTATTTTTTTAAGATTCAATAAAGATTATGGAAACCATATTTTAATGAAATAATTTTTTTTGATGTGATTTTCAGACGCGCCTATCCTACGGATATTTTGATTGGATGAAATTGTGATATAATAAATATGAAAGAGAGCAGGGAAATAAAAATAGTAAAGTTCGAACCAGATTATTTATATTAATAATTGAAAATGCCAAAATCCTTAAAAACATTTTCACTTCATTCATTTAGATTTTTTTGGTCGAAAAAAAAAGATACATTTACGATTATCAAATTATTAAAAATCTTAGTTTTTTAGAATAAAGATAAAATTATTTTTCGTTTATGAATCTTAGTAATCGTGTTAAAATTATTTTCATATAAATGTATTGGGTAAAAAAAAAAAAAAAAGAGATGGGTAAAGAATGAATATAGATAAAGATAGATAAAATACTAAAAAAGACGTGAGACGAATTAACAAATTTTATCTGTTTTATTAAGCAGTCAAAAAAAATTAGAAGAAAAAAAAAAAGAAAAAGAAATCGATTAACCAGAAATTTATTGCATTACCAAAAATATTATTTTTTTTTTTTTTTTTTTTACTTTTTTATAATTCACTTTTTTTTTAAAAAAAAAAAAAAAGAAAGAGTTGATATGATAGTTTTATACTTTTTTTTGAATTTTCTTAAAATTTTTTTTTTTTTTTTTTTTTTTGTTTTCGATTTTTTGAATTTTTTTGAAATTTTTTTTTTTTTTTTTTTAGTTCAAAATAGTTTCATTATCTATAATTTTCTTTACTCTTCTTTAGTAATGTTAGGATTAACTATAGCTTTCTCGTTACCAGAAGACAACCACTCAAATTCAGTAATACCTTCACCCCAACAAGGAACGATAACCAACATGGGTACAATCCTATTAAACTCATTGAAACCAAGTTGAATATAAAAATTAAAATTTTTCAATAAAATTCTAAATCTTCCGGTATTAGCGATCTCATCGGATTGTCCAGAAGTGGTTCCAACGCCCGTATCATTATTCATAGAATTATTATTAGAATTGTTGGTGTTTGAGCATATGCTTCTACTTCCACCCACTCCGATGCTCCAATATTGTTGTTGAAATTCGGTAGCAGTATTGGCCATATTCATGGCGGTATTAATAAGGTTTCCGGTGGTTGATGATGATGATGTCGTCGAGGTTGTGGTCGTCGTGGTAGGGATGCTGGTAGCAATCGGACTAATCGTCGAAGAGGGTTTATGAAATTGTCTTGATTTATTAAAGAATCTATTATAAACATCCAAACCATTACATTCCCTTCCATCAATTCTGAACACGCAGGTACATATTAAACCGTTAAAAAATGTTTCACCAAATTGATTTGGCAAAACATTTTTATAAAATTTTGAATTGATGAAAACTTTACAAAAAGAGGTCATTTTTGTTAAATCTTTTGATTGCAAGAATTTAAAGCTCCAGGCGTTTGGTGAAATATCCCATACGACATTTTCGGTATGAAATTGTACCAAAGGATGAACATTATATTCAGAGGATTTTATCTTGTATCTTAGTTTACGATCCAACATTACCAAATGATCGATCGGTGTATTGGAAAGGAGGAGATCAATTTTCGTATCATTCATAAACGGATCATAATAGGGGGAGTTATTATTTGAATTATTTGAAGAGGTGGTTAAGGTTAAACTTGAAGTTAAAGTAGGAGATGGAGATGGTGGGGTTGGTGATTGAATTGGAAAGACAGTTGTTAAAAGTCGCTGAAGATTAGATAATTTATAATAAATTGCGTCTTCTAAAAGGTGTCGATGAAAAGACTCGATACTCATTCCGGTAGGTAAATTAATGGAAGAGGAAAGTGGAAAGGACATTGTGTATCCACGAAGATACCTTGCTATAACTTCAAAAATGTAAGGATCACGATCAAAGGAAATATCTTTGGTTGATGTTGGTGGTGGCGGTGTGGTAGTGGTATGAACAATAGCTGTAGGATTAAACATATTCGTCAATCCTATGGTGAAAGCTGATGTATGACCATTCAAGATACCATGATTATGATACGAAGAATTATTACTACTATGTTGTTCCCGAAACGTTTTCATCTCATCCTGCCAAACTTCTGTTCCCGTTAATGGTTTCTTGACGAAATGTTCCGTGAATAAATTTGGCGAATCGTACAAGATGCTTGATCGTGATAATATAAATATTTTTCCTCCAACTATGATACGATAAAATATATTTACTGATATTTCTGACATCTTTTTTCAAGATTGTCTTTTTTTCGTCGAATATAAAATGAAAATAAGTCTTTTCTTTTTTCCTTTAGCAACTTTTTTTTTGTAATCGTTTTGGTGGAAGGGAAAGAAAGAAGAAGAAAGAAAAACAAGGTTAAACGGAAAAAAAAAAAAATTTTTTTTTTCTATTTATAAATAAAAAAAAAAAAAAAAAAAAAAAAAAAAATTTAGTATTATTATTACCGGGTTTTTGGAGTTGTAATATTTACGAAATACTTGCTGTATTAATAATGGTTTATCATATAATCTTCGCATAAGGGTACGCCATGCTCAGCCAATAAACATTATTTTCGGTAGCGCAGCAGAATCCGTACGACCCATAGATGTCACATATCACATGAAAATGTGATTGCTGTGCGACATTTAACGGTTCTTTTTGCGCTAGTTCTTAAAAATGATAGTAACCAAACAAAGGATGATTTATTTGTAAATAAACCTTAATTTCCAAAAATTTCGAAAAGATTCATGGAATGTTTCATTAAAAACCTGAAATCTCCACTTTCAAACTTAGATTTAACGACTTTAAAATTCCAAATAGATCCTACAATAAGATGAGGATTGATGGATTCAAAAAATAAAAAAAAAACCCTTCGCATTCACATGATTATCTCATGTGATATGTGACATTATATGTGACATTGATCACGAAATCAATCAAAAAAGTGAGAATTAATGGATTTATTCTCCTAAAATGGATGCTATATGGAATATCATTTTTCCTTAAACATCGCCTTCGCGCTTTTGACACTTATATAGCCATATCAGGTCTCAAATAAAAGTTGACATACAGTTGAATGGATAATCCAAGCAGCATGTGATAAATAATAAATAATCTTTGGAGCTACATCTCCGGGAATTAGACGTCAATTGGAAGAACATCTGAAAGTCCTGCAGATAACAGAGATACTTCATCAAATAGCAGGTCTCAACATTGGTCGTGAACCTTTAATTGAAAATTTGATTATTTCAATTCAAGTTACCTTTGCTCCTTGTTTTTTCCTACTCATACTAAAGAATGATGATAATGTTATCAATGATAATGTGATCTATAAATGGCCTTATTTGTGCACATCTCTGCATTTCGTTATAATGTATACATTGCGTCCATCCACAGTTATGATGACTAAAACTGTATTTAATATCATCAAACAGAGTAAAACGTTCTTTAAAAAGGCGAAAGAATCATAAATTAACAATAACGCCAACAATAATAGCATAATTTAAAGTTTTGATGTATTCACAAAAGTCAAGGAACGATTATTTACATTATGCCGGATGACGCCATGCATTCATAACTTCCAAAAAATGCATGAACCTGCCTGGACATTTTCCGAAATTTTCCGAAATAGTGCAAATGGACAGTAATAAATACTGCATTAATTTTTTTACTTGCATTGTGATATCACCTAAACTACCTTATAGAGTGATGCCGTAAAAGTGCCGAAATTGATGGTTTGTTACTGCGCCGCGAAATGCAATTAAATTTATTACATCAATCATGAATTAACCGTCTCCTTTGATGGCTCGCGCTCACCCTCTGATAATAATGCAATTGAACACAAATGCAACGATGCAAGGAATGCAAGCATGTTTGATAAAATTTTCTTGCAAAGCTTCGAATTCTCACGTGATCATAGATCTTTATTGAAATTATTTCAAAATCAAATCTTTTGGACTACAAAACTTGGTGGAAACAATTTATTATTGGTTACTATTTTGAATTAAAATCAAAATAACCTAAAAGGCTAAATTTCTTATGATTTTTTTTTTTTTAAATGTCAACTTAGTAATTCCAATACCGTTGAAGCCATAACTTTGTGCCGGATCCTGACCCGGTTGATCACAAACTTGAGAGGTATTGTTAGCAACAAAGGTGACACATTGTTCATTCGAATTTTTAGAAATTTTCATCTCATCTTGAAACTTTTTCGTGGTAAATTCACAAAATAATTCATCTGCTTTGAACATTACGTTTTTTTTAGTACTTTTTACGAACTCATCAATGGAATTTTAGTAATTGATTATGAGTTTTACCAAGATTTTTGATGACTTTTGAAATATTTGTTTGAGCGTACGCTGGGCTGTTGGAGAAATTTAGTATGATGTTCATTATAAAATTTGCTGCGCCAAATTAAAGGTTGAGCAGCATTTGTGGCTCGGATTAGAATAATCATTTCCAAAAAAGGACAATCTTTTACTTGCAGAGATAAGGGAGAATGGATTAGTTGAAATAACGTCAACATCCGTTAATAATATTCTTTTGAACTCACCGATATAAGCAATTTCGTCAAGATTTTCAATTCTTTTCCTCGTACTTTTGTATATAAGCATCCGATTCGTTGTTTGATTCCAGGCACGTCGATTACAGCATTACATATCAAGTTCGAACTAAAACAAGAATCGTTCGTTCGGTAATTTGGTAAGAGGAAAAGATGAAGAAAATAAATAATGATGATAATGATGATAATGATGATAATTACTCTGCTATGAATGCAAATGTACCATTGATGCAAAAGAAAATCAATGTTATTTAATAATAAAATTAATTTGAAAAATCAATTAAATTTTACCAACATAAGAATCTCCAAATACATTAAGAGAAGTAAATGTTTTCTTAGGAACTGCGACTGCTAAGGTTGATTCCGTAATAAATAACAAAATCGAAACGAGGGTTTAATATTTAATTTCATCGTGACTTTGCATTTTAATGAATTAAAAATTGTATTTGTCTAAAAAAATGAATCTAGTTAGACTTCTTTTATAGCCTTATTTAATTCTTCGTTTTTGGTCAAATAATAACCAAAATGAATTTCCGTAACTATTTATAAATGAATTTCATGCAAATCAATGTAAAATATACCTTTACTATTTTTTGAGTCTCGTTTCTTTTTTATTTTTAGGAAAAAATCTGTTGTGTAATTATAGACTCAATTTCTCAAACCTAATCGCTCTTTTTATTTTTATGTTTGTTTTTGGTCAAATCATTGTCTATTGCGTCATATTAGGCTTAGAGTATTTCAACTTCGACGATAAATAACAATATAGTAAGTTTCGACTGCGCCAAATGTTCGCACGAATCCTTGGGGAGCACTGATTCATACAAGTATAAGAACACGGATCTTTATGGAATAACAGCTCCAATGACCGGGACAAAGCCCAGATCTTAATCCGATCGTAACACAAATATGATCAATGGTGAATGGCTGCGCCACCATATAAGTTCGTCGTCAAGAATTGAAACACGTGTTCTATCGAATGATCGAATTATCAACAAATTAGTTGTATGCAAGAATATTTCGATATTCTAACTTTTCAACGAAAGGATGAATTCGAAAATTGAATAAAGTAATTTTCCAAGGGCAGCAATTTATTAAAAAATTATTTCAAATTGGATATATATAATTGAGTGTTAAGAAAAGTGACTACTGCATTTATTCGAATTTTCAATAACTTTTAAATTTTATAAATAAGTAAAAAAAATTTAAAAATAACGTTTTAAAAATTATTTTTTTAAAAGCAAAAAAATAGTAAAATTTATAATATTGAAGATGTATTATTCTAAATAAATCAATTAGATTAAGATTTTTTGAATTTAACAAAACAACTAAAAAATTTAATTAATATAATATAAATTTTTTTATAATATTTATTATATAAAGAATTTTTATTTGTAAAAGAAATGTTAAATATTATTTGAAATATAAGGTGTGACAAATAATATTTTTAGAATAAAAAATTTTTATTTAAAAATATTTAATATAAATAAATTTATTCATCGCAGATGCGATATCATCGCCTCCTTTTGTCACCTATGTCACGCCCCTCCCTTTTTCATTTTTCATATATATTCTAGGGACTTAGAAATTTTTTCATGTGTGAAACCCTATTTGTCATGTAGTTAGTGTCACATGGCTTAGAACTAGGTTAGTGCTAGGGTTAGGGTTAGGTAAGATTTATATTAAAGCGATGTATAAGGAGTATCGCCCCTGCAATGAATAAATTTACCTATAAATTTATTTATAAATAAAATTAAAAATTAAAATATAATATAAACAATAATAAATTTATATAAAATCAAATTGTTAATTATTTAATTAAAATATTTATTAAACTATTACCTTTTATAGAAGGTTATAATAATAATAAACTGCAAATTATCCAATTAAGCTATTAGTAATAGGTTCAATTCCTAAGTGTATTGACAATATGAGTATAAAGGTCATTTGATTTAATAAATTATATAGAATACTATAGTAATAAAAGTCTAACAACCAGATTCAGATTTTATTAGGTATCAGTAGATTAAAATCTTACAATAGAATATGATTATATAATTAGATAAGAATAGTATTTAACAGTTAAAATGATCTTTTTATCTAATTTTGATAGTAATCTTAAAATCTAGTTAAGTTTAAATAAAGTTAAACTTGATAAATATAGCTTATAATATTAGATAGTAACTTTTGAATAAATATTAACAGATGGATTATAATCATTTAATCAATTTGTGAATTAATTGAAATTTATACTAAAGTATTTATAGGAAATTAGGGTTATACTTTACTAAACTAATATTTATAAAATATATTCTTTATTTATTTTCAAAAAAAAAATTTATTAAACTATTTTTTAATAATTTTACATTTTGACATATTTATAATTAGCCTATTAATTTATAATAAATATATTTTATTTAAATTTTCTATAGATTTTTAAACTTAAATCAAATTTAAAATTAAAAAGTTATATTAAAAGTTTATAAAGTTTTAAATTAATAAATTATATAAACAATAATTAATAAAAATAAGAAAATTTAAATTTAATCAAATATTTTTTATTAATTTATTTAATTGATTATAGTTATATATAAAATTTAACTTTAAAACTAAAATTAGATAGAAATTTCAAATTTTCTTTTTTTTACTCATGTTTATATATTAAAATAAATTTAAAAATATTATTATTATTATTATTTAAATAAAATAAAATAAATTATAATAGTATATTAAATATTAATTTATTATTTTAATTAATTATTATAGCTTTATGAAACAAAATTAAGAAATTTAAATAATATTAAATATAAATTTTATAAAATTTTAATTTTATATATACTTAAAAATTTAAATTATAAAATTTTAGTTAAAAATAATTATATTAATAAATAATAATATATTATATTATATTATATAATATATATTATTAATTTTTTAATCAATTTTAACCATTTTTATTTTCATATAAATAAATTAAAATGAAATAAACTCTATTAATTAATAATAAAAGAAAAATAATAATTAGTATTTATCAATTTTTTAGATTTAAAATAACATAAAAAGTAATATTTAGACTTATTATTATATAAGCAAGTTGCCTTAATTTTAAATATTAGAAAAGCTATAATTATACAATAGTTATTAAAATACAATCAAAATATGGATTTTATAAAATATAGAAAGTCTGATAAACTAAAAAATAAACTTAACCTTAATATTATAAAGTTACATATAATTTAATTATATCAGTAAATACTACTGGTATATCACTTTTAACAAATATTTTAAAATAAAAATTAGAAGAATGTAGTTACTAATTTTCAAATAACAGTTATTTTGAATATTATATATTTTAGATTATTATTATAATTATGTAAATAGCAGAATATTTTATATGAATTATCTGCAAATAATATATTTTAAAATTATTATTCAAGAAAATATTTAAAAATTTATAAACCAAAAATGATGTTTAAAGTAGCTAAAGTTTTTTTGGATGAGTTTTATTATAATTTATATTATAAGATATACTTAAATATCATATCATAGAATTATCTATTTACTCTATATAGTCTTTTAATCATTATATTTAAAGTAATTATTATATTTTACAATAGTAATACTAATAAGATTTATAATAAAAATAAAAACTTGAAAGAAACAAATAAAAGTATAAGTAACTTTTAACAATTCTCTGAAATGATTGATCATGCTGAAACTAAAAATGAAAAAGCATCTCAAAACCTTATTTTTAATTATTTTAATTTTAAAAAGCTGTATTCAATGATATAAAGAAAAAAATCTGAATATAATAAGAATAGATTCTAAATGTTAGTTAAAAAAGGTTAAAAAAATGATTTTTAAAATAAAATACTCTAATAAATTTTTGCAAAAAAAAAAAATAGAGAAATTTAAAAAATGTATAAAGATTTAATAGTATAAATAAAGAAAAAAAAAGCTTAAATTAAATCTATTTCTTTATCATATGTTTTAAATCTAACTATAAATAAAACTAAATATGTAATAGCTAAAATTTTAACATAAAAAGTTTAATAAGCTCAGATAAACTTGTTTAGCTTTTATTATTATTTTTAAAAGAATATAATAACTTTTTTCTTTTAAATTCTTTAGCTAAAATGTTTTAATAAAATTTGTTTACAATTTGAACTTTTATTTTTATTTGCTTTATAAATATATAATACATTTGAAATATATAATAATTTTTAATCATTATAAAGTACTATACTATAAATTATTATTTGATATATTATACTATTTCTTAAAATATAAGTATAAATTAATTATAAAATATTATAAAAAAATTATAATATTTTAATATTTAATAATTATAAAAAGATGAAATAAAATTTATTAGATTTGTTGTATTAAGATATATCTAATGATACTATTTTTAAATTTTTAAAATTAGTAATTATTAATATACACTAAATGGAAATAAGTTTATGCAATATTTAAAAAAATCGTTTATTATCATTTTTTTTAGAAAAATATTAGTATCTAATTGGCCAACTATTATTAGCGATATATGCTTCTACTTTTTGAGATATACATCAATTAATTTTAGGTAAGTTTCTTGTAAAATTTTTTTCCATTCTTCTTTAAATTGTATTTCTAAATCTATAAGATTTTAGAAAGATCTGAATGGTTATGCAATGAATAGTCAAGATGATC